TGTGTGTGTCTACACTATGGTATTCATGTCTACTCCAGTGTGTGTGTCTACACTATGGTATTCATGTCTACTCCAGTGTGCGTGTGTCTACACTATGGTATACCTCCTGAATAGTACATCGACAAGGGCACTGAAACATATTTAATAGCTGCTTGTATCCTGCCAACTGTATTACCATTTATTCAAAATAACTTGGGTTTAACATGGTGGTATAAGTCAGTATTAATTTGTATAATATGTATGATTCTTACACTGTTGTGTAATGATAATATATATTATAGATGATATCAGAAGTATTATTAACACATAACTGTACTATAAGTCACCATAATAATATTACCTGCTCTGCTATCCTGCCTTAATTCACCTTTATATCCCATGCCAATTTTACATGTAACATTTCTCAGACAAATGAAGGTAAAGAAAAAGATGGCAAAGATGTGAAAGATATTAAAGAGACTGGAGAGGATCAAGCACTGGTTTGGGTACTGTAATAGTACAGTGTTTGTGTGGCATCCACCTGCAGTGTGAACTATCTTTGTCAGTTTAGCTTTTGTGATGATACTTTTTTATTCAGTGAAATAATGTCATACATTAGACGACATCTAGTGTGTGTATATATATCTTACATTTAAAAAGTAATGTCATGTCTTGTGTTCAAAAATCAAATTAACAATCACTGTACACGTTTTTGTCATATTGCATGTTATCACAGATTTGGATGCACTGTGTTACTTCCAGGCACCTTGGAGTTGAGGCTTACTAACAATCACTAATCTTGCTGTTAAAATTGTCCAAAAATTGTAAATACTATTTATAAATTGCATGGAAATATTCTAAGCTTGGTGATGATTTAAATAAATAGTCTGCATGCAATAAACTGAAAAGAGTAGAAAAAATGTGATAAATGTACCAAAACACTACTTGATATTGAAATACTAGGATATTATGAGAATGCTTTAGATTGCTAGCACTGCATCAGCTATGGCTCACTTTCAGCTCCTATCATTACCTGCTATCTCTCCATGCTTTGAATTATATAAAATTATGTGTCTTCTATGCAGGCTTAAGGAGAATGCACATTGCTGATTACAAGTTGTGCATCTTAGTCATTTCAAATATGTGTTTTTATCCAGACTAAAGGATCCGTGGCTTCCATCTTTTGTACCATACATCGATCTGTTGTTGAAAATTCTTCAAGAATGTTGCTGGAATTAAAAAGACATAACTACGTGACTCCAACTAATTATCTAGAACTGGTATCTGGATATAAACAGTGAGTGCATTTACCTATTGATGTTTAATGTAAGCAGTGTAAATCATGTGTATACACATCAAGTTGTTTGACTGTCATGTAATCTGGCCTCTCAATTGCAGATACTCTAATTTCTATCAACGATATGTTACTATTTTCTGAGAAAATTACTCAATATTATTTAGGTAATTACATATATATGCTGTTTTCATATATAACACTAAGTGAATTGGCTTTGTGGTCACTTCACTGGTTTTACTTGATATCTTTATCCAGTCATTTTCACTGGTTTTACTTGATATCTTTATCCAGTCACTTCACTGGTTTTACTTGATATCTTTATCCAGTCACTTCACTGGTTTTACTTGATATCTTTATCCAGTCACTTCACTGGTTTTACTTGATATCTTTATCCAGTCACTTCACTGGTTTTACTTGATATCTTTATCCAGTCACTTCACTGGTTTTACTTGATATCTTTATCCAGTCACTTCACTGGTTTTACTTGATATCTTTATCCAGTCACTTCACTGGTTTTACTTGATATCTTTATCCAGTCACTTCACTGGTTTTACTTGATATCTTTATCCAGTCACTTCACTGGTTTTACTTGATATCTTTATCCAGTCACTTCACTGTAATTTTGGCTAGTTTTTGAGACTCTCAAAAAACTGTAATTTTGGCTAGTTTTTGAGACTCTCAAAAAACTGTAATTTTGGCTAGTTTTTGAGACTCTCAAAAAACTGTAATTTTGGCTAGTTTTTGAGACTCTCAAAAAACTGTAATTTTGGCTAGTTTTTGAGACTCTCAAAAAACTGTAATTTTGGCTAGCTTTGAGACTCTCAAAAAACTGTAATTTTGGCTAGTTTTTGAGACTCTCTTGAACAGTACAACAAGTTACAACCTCTACATGTGCAACATATATAAATTTGATTGTTCAAGATTGTCTCTTAGTTGATTTTGTGTTGTTTAGCTGTTTTCATTGCCTTATTGCCGGCTTTCCACAGCAGATCAGACAGAGCCTATAAGAATACACGGGACAGTAGTATGTGTCTTAGCAACATAGAATATTATGTGACATAGCTCTATAGCCACGAGAATAAGCAGTTATAACTTGATACATGTGATTTGATTTTAACAGATTATTGGCAGAGAAGAGAAAAGAACTTGGAGATGCTGCAAATAAACTAAAGAATGGATTACAGAAGATTGATGATACCCGTTCCAAAGTAGAAAGCATGTCAGTGGAATTGGAAGAAGCCAAGAAAAAGGTTGCTGAATTTCAGAAACAGTGTGAAGAATATTTAGTTGTCATTGTACAACAGAAACGGGAAGCTGATGAACAACAAAAAGTAAGAATCTTGATAAAACAGTTGAAATATAAACTTCATGCAAAGCAGTACCATGCTGCATTCTGGATGGCATGTATGTGTATACTTTAACTTTGATCACAGAGAAATAAATGATGCAATCATCTCTTACAGTCTGTACAAGCCCGTAGTGAGAAAATTGGAGAGGAAGAAGAGAAATGTAAAGTGATGGCCGAAGCAGCACAAGAAGATTTAGCAGAAGCTATGCCTGCATTAGAAGAAGCTCTTAAGGTATGCTTTGAGTGACTATTTACAAACTTTTATTTCACATTTACTTTCTTCAGTGCATTTAGTTATATTTTTCATTTCAGGCTTTAGAAGCTCTCAACAAGAAAGATATTGGAGAAATTAAATCCTATGCCAAACCTCCTCCACTTGTAGAGAAAGTCTTGGAGGCTGTAATGATCCTAAGAGGAGGAGAACCCACATGGCTTGAAGCTAAAAGACAGCTTGGTAAAAACTAAATTTCAATCTTAATTTCTGAAAATTTAAAATTCACTTGTTGCTATTACTACATAAATATAAGAATATCCCATAAAACACTGATAACATTACAATTAATAATATCACACTTGTTGGTACAAGTACAGGACCACATCTCAACTGCTTAATACTTAATTTAATATCATACATTTCCATTTCAATATTTTATTATAGGAAATCCTAATTTTATCAAAGAATTGGTTGAATTTGACAAAGAGGGAATGACAGACCGTGTTTTGAGTAAGATTGGTAAATACTGTGCTCAGCCAGATTTCATGCCTGATATTGTTGGTCGTGTGTCCTTAGCTGCTAAGTCACTGTGTATGTGGGTACGAGCTATGGAAGTATATGGCCGTGTTTATAGAGTTGTAGAACCAAAGAAGTTAAGACTCAATATGGCATTGAATACCTTGAAAGAAAAACAAGATATTCTTGCTGATGCTAAAGCTAAACTTGAAGAAGTGAGTTTAATTTTTTGTTAGTCTCCTATTTTTGTGAGAAAAATGTCTTCCCTCTTACTATTACAAATACCTGTCATTTATGAAATTTATTTCACTTTGAAATTCTCATAACCTGTTTGTTCTTCTGATTTTATCAAAGTATATATTCTATGGTTTCAAATTAAGAGACTATTTTATTTCCAATGTTCACTAAGATGGCATGATCTTTCTTTTGTTTTTGTGAACTTTTTGTTGTATATGTAAGCCTAAAACACTGTCATAAAATAAAACAATGTCAGATGAAATCCATTCATGCACCAGTCTGACTTTGGTATGTTCATTAATACACCAGTCTAAATTTGGTGTGTCTATTCATGCACCAGTATCCACTGTACATTCACACATGCTTTGACCAATTATATTTATACACATACTGAATACTGTATTGAACACAATTGTGCACATCTATTTTTTTACCAGATTCATGTTAATTGTCTGATGATGATTGCCTCTGGGCTAATGTTATTATTAATTCTCTCATTTAGGTGACCCGAAAAATGGAAGATTTGAAAAGACAATATGATGAGAAATTATCATTGAAAGAAGAATTAAGAAAGAAAGCAGAAGATATGGAAATCAAATTAGACCGTGCTGGTAAATTAGTGTCTGGTCTTGCTGGTGAGAAAGAAAGATGGGAAGTCAGTGTTGCAGTAAGTTTGTTTTACTCTTCCCAATCATACAATTTTTTACTTCACTCACATTGCCCATCACACATAAACTGATTGTCTTCTTGTCATTAGGATCTTGAAGAACAGATTGGTTTTTTGGTTGGTGATTGTTTAATTGGTGCTGCTTCCTTGTCCTACATGGGACCATTCCTTTCAAACTATAGAGATCATATGGTTAAAAATGTTTGGTTAACTGAGGTAAGTACACTAAATAACTTTGTTGATTAATATATGTGCAATAACTTTTCTTTATGTACACTGTGCACCTAATTTCATCTATTCAACAATTATATATTGTCAGTATTTTTGAGTGAACATGTTTGTGTTTACTAGCCGAAGGTTCGGAAGTCAGAGATTTTACATGATCAAAAAGTTTGACGGAGTTGAATAACTCATTCATATCACTCCTATGTTTAATATATAGGTTCGCAAACTTGGAGTTCCGTGCAACCCTGAATTCTCCTTTGCATATTTCTTGTCGAAACCAACTGTTGTACGTGATTGGAACATTCAAGGTCTACCTACTGATTCATTCTCTACTGAAAATGGTGTAATTGTGACCAGAGGAAACAGGCAAGTCATGCTTTCACTTTAACAACAAACATTTAAGTATTATTGCATATTAGGATGTTCAATACAGTTTCACTTTTGTGATGTGTATATGATAATATACAATCCTTTTTTAATTTTAATTATAAGCTTGTAAAAGTGTGAGCATCCACCCGTATCTTGAACACGCCTAGTCCAATCTCATTTAAACTTCACAAATACGTCATAGATTTTAAGTTGCATATGCATTTCATTTGTATTAATTTGACAAAAAAATTCAAGATGGCTAAATGGTAGCCATTTTAATGTTCAAATCCATCAAAGGATTTCTGAAATCCCACAATCCAATCGTAGTCATGTACAAGTGACTTCATGCATTACTGGTATCCACAAACACCGTGCACAAACAAAGTATGAATATGTTTTATTTATAAGAAGTCATATTTGAATGATATGCTTCATGATCTTGTTAAAACAGATTTACTCATGTAGCTTTGTAATTATTTTCAGATGGCCTTTGATGATTGATCCTCAGGGACAAGCTATAAAGTGGATTAAAAATATGGAAACAAAAAGAGGATTAAAGATTATAGACTTGCAACAACATGATTATCTACGTACATTAGAAAATGCTATTCAGTATGGTCTACCAGTACTCTTACAGAATGTACATGAAGAACTGGATCCATCACTCTCACCAGTTTTAAATAAGTCAATTATCAAACGAGGTAAAATATGTGATTCAGCAACTAATAATTGCCATGAATTGGTTTCAGTTAAACATTACAGTTTGTTTCTAATTTTACTGATTCTACATTAGTATTAAAATACAGCCATTTATAGTATAATATCACCATACTGTGACTTTTTGTTGTTGACAGGTAATTCTTATGTACTACGTCTTGGAGAGAAAGAAATTGATTACAGTCCTGAATTCAAGTTTTACATTACGACAAAACTCAGCAATCCACATTATACTCCAGAGATATCTACAAAGACTACCATTGTTAACTTTGCGGTCAAAGAGGTCGGTTTAGAGGCCCAGTTATTGGGTATAGTAGTACGTAAAGAAAGACCAGAATTAGAAGAACAAAAAGATACCCTTGTAATAAACATTGCAGCAGGCAAGAAGAAATTAGTAGAACTGGAAGACGAAATCCTTAGGTTTGTATTTAAATCATATCTAATCATATCTTTTATGGCAAGTACTCATTAAAACCCTGTCTGATTTTTACCTTGTTTGTATCATCATGAATGAAAGTTGAGGTATGGGAAGGAAAAATGTCTGTCCTTGCTGTGTTGTTAAGGCCTTCATTGTAAAACTTTTTTCCTATGATTACAATAATTTGCATAATTTTTAAATGATCATCTTCAAATTTGGGAATCTTTAAGTTCAATTTTGGTGTAACTATCAATTTCAATTTTCAAAATATAGTCTTAAATTTAGTTGAAATAAAACATTTGTTAAGTGTAAAAATAAATACACAGAATGAAGACATTTATATTACTCATGATGAGAACCAGATATTAGTAATATTATTGAGATTAATACAGTACATTCTAAATGGACAAATTTGTACTGGATACGTTATCTAATATATTATTGTTTGTAACTTTTGATGTATGAAGTACCAGTTGTAAGTGACAGATACAAAATACAACTTTATTAGGTCATTAAGTCTACTGAATGACACACACACAATTTTCAAAAAAAATGTTTTTAATGCAACCTTAATCCAAAAACATTGAGTGCAAAGTATGAATTTACTTGGAATAAACAATGTGTATTAAAGATATTTTAGCAGATACAAGTATTGACTTTGTTATCTCACTCTAGATTACTGAATGAAGCTACTGGTTCACTCTTAGATGATGAACAGCTTGTAAATACTCTACAGACTTCAAAGAGAACATCAGAAGAAGTGGCTGAACAACTACAAGTCAGTGAACAAACTGAACTCAAAATAGATGCTGCTCGTGAGGGATATCGTCCATGTGCTCAACGTGCCTCAATCCTATTCTTTGTGTTGAATGATATGGGTCGTATTGATCCTATGTATCAGTTCTCACTGGATGCTTATATTGATCTGTTCAACATGTCTATTGACAAGAGTCAACGTAGTCCCACTCTAGAGACCAGAATCACTAATCTAAATGAATTTCACACGTATGCTGTTTATAGGTAAGTAATGAATGACTGGCTGGGCAAACATGACAATAATTAAACCTACATGCAAGGGCCAAGTGTTTGAGATTAGATTTCTCAAACAAGTTTGGCATATTTGTCTCACACATACCAACAACTTATACAAAATCTCATCTCATGACCTTGATGTGATGATCTTTTTTTCGCATATGGCTACGAAATACGTCATTTGTCAGAAAGAAACATGCTTGAAGCATACAAGTACTACCAGGTAGATATGAAAAATTACCAAAAATTAGTGGATGTATTATTCGGCATCACTTAATTCACATATTGTCCAGATTTGATGAATAATGGTTGAATATACAAGTAGCAAACACCTACAGAATTTCTGTCATTCCGGAACCAGATCTCAGTTGTGTATGGATTGATTTCATTCATACTTGGTACATGCATTAGACTTAATGCACCTTGATGTATTTGTTTTGTTTGATGTATTTGTTTCAATTTGTTTTGAAGATTGGATTTAAAATGGTCAACTGGGGGGCCATTTAGTTTTAATGAATGTAGTTCTGGAGCCATATCTTGAACATGTTTAGATTGGGCTGGCTCAAACTTTCCATACCGGTATACATCAAACATCTTGGCATACATGTGCAAGTGCATTTTTCTCTTGATCCAATTCAACATAGCCAGTATGGTAGCCTATTTTGTACTAAATATTTCTGCTATTCCATTCCAGTCATGTATGGATAGATTGTTTAAACTTGGTACATGTGTGTACACGTGTGCATGTTTAAAAATGACAACATATTTTACCAAAAAACACATTTTCTTCAAGTTGTTCAGACCTGACCAATTCTGTTCAAACTTTGGATATTGGTAACACCTCTTTTTCAGAGTTTGCACATCAAAAATACTGGTACTTATTTGTGATCTTATTTGCTGATAACTCGAGAATACAACCACTAACTTAGTTTATTCAAATTTGGTACATATGCAATGTATTGTTTGACAAAAACACTCCTCATGATGGCTAACTAGCAGTCATTTTGTTTGATGGAAATCTAAAATTGTTGTCTTTTTTTTCACAATTCTACTTATATCTCAAATTTACACTGTCCTGTCCTGTCCTGTCCAAACATGATACACAGACAATTGTGTTCTACCACATGAATGAAAATAATCTGTGTCAGGATCCAATCCAAGATGACTGATTTGTACAATAAGGAGAATATAAAAGAAAGAGAGAGAGAGAGAGGGGGGAGGGGAGGCTGTGACATTCCAAATGGCTTGATAGTTGTTCTTTTTCATTTTAGATACACATGTCGTGGATTGTTTGAAAAGCACAAGTTACTGTTTTCATTCCAAATGTGTGCCAAGATCTTGGAAGCTGCTGGTAAACTCAATATGGATGAATATAACTTCTTTCTTCGAGGTGGCATTGTAAGTACTCATCAGGCTGTTAGCTATTCATATTTATTACTTCTCAAGTATGAGACAGTCTATTGGTCAAAAATGATCATATGATCATTTTATAAAAATTGATATTTTCTTCTCTCTGCATATTTCTTGCCTCATGTATTTTGTGTGTTATGTCATAACATTCAGGACACTTAAATTGTTGCAGACATTAGCAAGTTATAGGAAACTTGCAATGCATTTCTCTACAGGAGGTTACCATTAACCTCAAAAGTTTAGCTACACAATATCACCATATACTTACTGTCATTAATATCATTAATATATCCCTAAGTGGCTGTTATTGGTCTCAGTCAAAAACAGCTACTTTGAAAATGATAATTCTTGATAAGTCTTAGGTGAGACCAATAACTGGTATAGTAGATGTGAACACCTACTGGTGTTTGTGCTGACAATCTATATCTACTATTAGGTGCTAGACAAAGAAGAACAAATGGACAATCCATGTCCTGGATGGTTAGTGGATAGTGCTTGGGATAATATCACTGAATTGGACAAGTAAGTTTTATTTAATTTAATTTATTAACCGAGAGAGAATATGTAGCTGTAGCTAGTCTATTGAGTGCATCAATTGAACAAAACATGTTTTTAGCACAGTGTCTTGTATATTCAATGCATTACTTTGAACATGGAGGTAAAATTTTACCTCCATGCTTTGAATTATATCTTGTTGTCATTTTGCATGTCAAACTGCACTGCATGTGAATTGATTGATATGCCTCATAACTGTAAACATCACATTATCATATAATTTTATTCACTATTTTATCTTTATTATCTTATCTTTTCAGAATGTAAGTATAAGGCTTTCAAACCACCTCATGCTTAATTTCAAGCATTTCCTTGTTGCTGCTTACTTAACTTTCAAAGTATCTAATACAGCTTTATTTCAATTAATCATAACCTATTACTATCTGTGTTTTTCCACCATCTCATCATTTCATTTGGTCATATGCAATTTTTAATTCAACTTATCATGTGAGTGATTGTTTAATAAATTGTGTCACTCTAATCATTTCATTGTGTATTAATGAAGCTTGTCAACTTTTCATGGTTTGCTACACTGTCTACATTGAATGTGTTGTGTGTGCTTGCAACAACAAAATTATATAAAACTCACTGTGATTCTCTGTCTCAAAAACTATGTCATTGCTACTAAATTTCTCTGATTGCACTATATTTTGATGGAGTCATTATTGCGTAATAATATTTACACCATTTGTTGTTGACATTTTCAATATGACTAGCTAAGAAAGACACTGATAGTTTTTAACATTAACAGTTTTCCCTCTTTGTTACAACATGTTTAATACATTTCCTGCTGAAAGTCTCCATAGATAGCCCAGATTTCAGCAGGCAATGTATTAATAGTTTTAAATTATGTTCAGTATTATATTCAATGATTTCCATAATTTATAAAATGTTGAATTACTGTTCTAAATGTCTGTCTTGAACTGATTATAAGTGTATTATATTAGTTACCAAGTATGGTAATTTGATCAAGGCAGTCGAGAACAGAAATTATACATTGAATTATTAAATAACAGCTGTGTAGTTTTAGTTGCTTCAATTAATTCTAACAAATAGGTAAATAAGCAGTTTTATGTTTTTAAGTACATTGTGTGACATTCATTTGTAAAAGGTTAGAATACCATTGTAGCAATTGAACAATTGCACAGTAACAATTGAAGGTTAGAATATCATTGTAGTCTGACAATGCACAGTAACAATTGAAGGTTAGAATACCATTGTAGTGTGACAATGCACAGTGACAATTGATGGTTAGAATATCATTGTAGTCTGACAATGCACAGTAACAATTGAAGGTTAGAATATCATTGTAGTCTGATGATGCACTATAACAATTGAAGGGTAGAATACTATTGTAGTCTGACAATGCACAGTAACAATTGAAGGGTAGAATACCATTGTAGTCTGACAATGCACAGTAACAATTGAAGGTTAGAATAACATTGTAGTCTGACAATGCACAGTGACAATTGATGGTTAGAATATCATTGTAGTCTGAAAATGCACAGTAACAATTGAAGGTTAGAATATCATTGTAGTCTGATGATGCACTATAACAATTGAAGGGTAGAATACTATTGTAGTCTGACAATGCACAGTAACAATTGAAGGGTAGAATACCATTGTAGTCTGACAATGCACAGTAACAATTGAAGGTTAGAATAACATTGTAGTCTGACAATGCACAGTGACAATTGAAGGTTAGAATAACATTGTAGTCTGACAATGCACAGTGACAATTGAAGGTTAGAATATCATTGTAGTCTGAAAATGCCCAGTGACAATTGAAGGGTAGAATATCATATAATACAATTTACTGCAACAAAAGCTAGATTAGCTATATTATTTATACCTCAGGGGAACTAATTGTCTGTTTACTATTTATCAATACAGATAGAAATTTAGTAATGTTGTTAGCCAATGTTGACATAGTTGTTATTCACATGATCTGAGCAACTGAAATATTTTGTTGGTCTTGTATACTCATCATCTGGTGATCTTATTTATATGTATTCAGTCTCACATTCTTATTTAAGTTGTCCAGTTGTGTGGAACAATCATTGTAATTAATTTGATCTATGTACTAATACTGATGTGATGGTCTTTGTAATATGATTTGTTTAGACTAGCTAATTTCCATGGTTTGGCTGCCTCATTTGAACAGTATCCAAGAGACTGGAACATCTGGTATACAAGTCCTGAGCCTGAAGTTGCTCAACTTCCAGGTAATCATTTTTGTTAATCTTGTTTTGAACTTCTCTGGGTTTTATAAATATATTAGTAGGTGAACATCTGGTGTGTTTAACTGGTGTTTGTATTGCACAGGTAGGCATGAAAAGTATTGGAGAATAATTGTTACTGTATTTTGTGAGCACTTATACTGTACTTGTTCAACTGGATGTCATGTTGTTTTTCAAAGATAGTTATTTTTTCTTGCAATTAATCAGTAATTATTGTTATTGTTAAAATATCATTAGGGTGTTAACATTACTTGTATTCACAGGTGAATGGGATAATGCATGTAATGAACTACAGAGAATGTTGATAGTACGATCCATCAGAGCTGACAGAGTATCCTTCTGTGTCAATGCTTTCATTGTAAACAACTTGGGTTCCAAGTAAGTACACTAAATATTACAATATTCTTGACACCATTACTGCTGCTGTTACTGTACCAACATATTGACTGTTTACTCTGCAGGTTTGTGGAACCTCCGGTGTTAGAAATGAAACAAGTTGTAGAGGATTCAACTACCAAGACTCCACTCATATTTGTACTCTCCACTGGTGTGGTAAGTTTACTCTGATAACTTGAAACAAAACACTAAAGTTAACAAAGCATGTTTATTTCATTTGAAAATTGTCTTATAAAATCCAAATGAGACAAATGGCTTTTGGTATGTACCTCTATTGCACGTATTGCTCACATACAACTTCCCATGCTTATTAGAACAGCTAAAATCACTGCATATACTTATACAATGTGTAACCATTGATTGAGTTTATAAATATTTAGTGTTATAAATAATTTATAACTGACTGCTGTGTTGAATACACTATATATATGTATATATTTTTGCATATATTATGTTGATAGGATCCAACTAGTTCATTGTTACAACTTGCTGAATCTACTGGTATGGCACATCGCTTTCATGCCTTATCACTTGGTCAAGGGCAGCTCCTATTGCTACTAGAATGATCAAAGAA